TGACACCAAGCGCTAGTGTAGTTCGAAACCAAATATTTGGTCTAGTTGCTTATCTATTAATCTTTTATCTATGGTCTAGACGCCGCGCCTGACCCAGCCGTGCTGTTCTCGAGTCTGACGCTGCAGGGAAACCGTACCTTAATACAGTATTATTCAAATATAACTATTAAATATATTATATTATAAAAATATAAATTTAAAATATATAAATATAAATTAATATTAATTTTGTACTTACATCGCTTTCAGTCATTGATTCTTCGCTAATTCTTCGCTAATTCTTCTTCACTAATGTTGGAAAATTAAAAACGAATTAGAAAATGACATTTTTTTTTTTTTAATATATCTTTAAACAGTAGATAATTTGTAGCTAAAATACGTTGAGTGGATTTAAGTTCTACCTCTAAAAGTGACTTGCTATTTGTATTTTCTAATCAATTTATATTATATTAAGACCAATAATAATAATAATAATAATATAAATAGTAATAGTAGTGGACAGCGTCTGCAATAACAAGATACGGATATAGTTTTTTTATTATTTTTTTTTTATTAAACGGTAGCTCTGACCGCAGTCTTTGATAATACTGTCATATGTTATATAGACATTTCGTCGAAGCTGATATTATATAATGTGTATTATATATATTATTATAAAAACTAATAACCATTGACCTTACATTGATAATATAATTTTTTAGGAAGTAATAATAATTTAAATCACTGTTACGTTAATGAACAGAGCTGTCGCGGTCTTTAATGTTTAATAAAAAAACAAAAAAAAACATTGATAACACTGCAATATAGACGTTTAGTCGAAGCGAATATTATATAATGTGTATTATATATATTATTATAAAAAACTAATAACCACTTCAACGAAACGTCTATATAACAGTACTCATATTATCAAGGAGTTGACATTTTCATCTTAAACATTGTATTGACAGTCTCACAAACTTATAATATATCATATTGTCTCACAACGCTCAACACAAACAAACACGGAAAAAAGTTCAATTTCTTTTCAAATATTTCAACTTCTCAAATTAACAATGTAAGCAGTGGCGGCGCGAACTTTTTCGACAGTGAGGCAAGAAAATGTTAGTTGCAGCACACACGACCCACCTTTTTATTTTGCACAGAGCCGTGGGGGGCTACGCCCCCCACACCCCCTATTATAATTCTATATCAAATTAGCCTTTCTAAAAATTCATGTTGCGGGTACTACAATAAAAATAACTTTTATAAATTATATAAATACTGCTTTATTATAAATCTTATTATAGTACTTTCAATTAAAACAATTATCCAAACATTAATTCTTTTCTCAATACACTTGATGACAGTCCAAATTTGTTTATAACTTCATTGATATCAATGGGTATGTCTCTTTCACACGAGATCAACATTAAACTCTCCAACCTTTGTTGTGACATTGTCGACCTAAGTCTAGTTTTGATCAATTTAACCTAAATGGAACAAAGTTAGAATTTAAACATAATCAGTTTACAGAAAAAATTGTAATACAATTATTATACCTTTGAAAAGCTTCTTTCTGCTGAGGCTGATGAGGCTGGAATTGTACATAATGCTTTATAAGCACAATACAAATTCGGAAAGGCACTCATAATGTCAAAACTTGAGAGAACATTTAATATAGTTCCTAGTGTTATGTTCTGTTTTGGTTTGCTCGTAATATTTTGATGTTCATCTTCCGATGAATCCTCTTCAGTGTTAATATCAAGTGATTCATTAGATTGATTATCTGGGAATTTCATTCCAATAATCAATTCTTTTAAGCTTTTGCTGAATAATAAATATTCAGTTTTAAGTTGGTATGGATTAATATCAGTTATCCATGTAGCCAAATCTAAAAAACATCTATCTGGAAGATCCATTTCCGATTTATATTTAGCTTCCATTAACCGCTCTGGGGATAGTAACGCAAGATCTTTCAGTATGTCTCTAGCATTACTAAATCTATTGTCTATAGATGAAGTTATTTGGTCCAAACATTTATAATATGTGTTCACTCTAAACCTATAATAAAAGTTACATATTCAAGAATTTAATGATAGAATTATTTTAATGATAAATAATTTACCAACCTGTCTGATGCTGAGGAACTAATTTCATCTTGTACATTTTCTCCAGGCATTTTTTTAGTTTTCCTCGTTCGGACTTTTTTAAAATCATTTTCACAGAGATTCTGTTCATTAGTAAATTGTTTGGTATTTGGTACAAGTTCTTGGAAATATTTGTCAGAACGCAATTCTAATAATCTTTTTTTAGTTTCATCTACCAATTTAATTGCTTGAATAAAATCAATGCTTTTTGATTGCAGATAACATGAAGTTGGTGTAGTTATTGTGAATATACTTTTCATTAGCTTAAGAACCAATACAAAATGAAACGAAGAAATTATTTGTAGAAACGATTTTGCATTTGAAGCAGTTACTCTGTCTGTGGATTCTGATAGCAATTCTAAAGTATTTTTTAAAGCTTCATACTTATCATGTATTACTGTAATAACACGGTCATGGGACGTCCACCGTGTATCTGAAAAATTTTTGATTTTTCGAATTCTATCATTAGCTTTAGATTCAATGTTTAATTTTTTTTGGAATTCATAAAATGTAGCAGTTCTTTTCCTTGCTCTCATAAATGTTACAATTCCATGCAAGTCCCCAAAAAATATTTTGGTATCAGTTGTAGAATCCAATGTATCGACAATAACTAGGTTAAGCAAGTGTGCGAAACACCACACATAAATTGCTTTGGGGTTTTCATTCTAAATATATGTGCGTAGTCCTGAGTATTCTCCTTGCATAGCTGCAGCACCATCGTACGATTGAGCGCATAATTTGGTTTTCCAATCAATCTGATACATTTCTGTTAGAGTACAAAAAGTATTATACAGCCCTTTTCCTGTAGCATCTGACGCTGTAACCAAACTTAATAAACGTTCTTCGATGCTTCCTTCATGAACATATAGAACAACAAAAGAAAATTGTTCCAGACTTGCTACATCAGTCGTTGTGTCAATGATAACAGAGAATAATCCAGCTGCTTTGAGTTGTTTTACAATTACGGATCTAATAATTTCTGCAATAATTAACAATAACTTATTTTGACTTTCATGAGACATGAAGGTAAGTCTATTATGGTTGCTTGAATTTATTTTTTCTAAATGGTACTGGAGTGTTGAGTTATGATGACTCATCAGCTTAATTAATTCCAAGAAATTACCACGATTATCACTTAAAACATTTTCACTGTGGCCTCGTAATGCAATGTTTTGCCTAGCAGCGAAAATAATTACTTCAATGATAACTCTCAACACTTCTCTATTTTCCGCGATATGTCGATTCTTAGAAAGACGCAGGTTCAAGTCTACTCTATCATTTTTTGAGAAAAGTCCACGGCTTATTTCAGACTGTAAGTGTTCAATAGTTTGTTCATGAGTCTAAATTACGTTTTAAATTTTGCCAGCTATTTGTTCCTTTTTGTGCCAAAACAGCCTTTTCTGCTTTAGGTAATCCAAATAATTTACAAGATACACAATATACCTTATTTTGGGAAGGTGAATATGATAACCAATTTCGACGCACTTGAACATTTTGTATAGTTTTGTGATAATAAGATTCGTGAAAACTTCTTGATACACCATTTGGATCCTTGCTTTTTAGAAAAATACTTGATGGCAGTTCTAATGGAGAAGGCTGACATGGTCCATATTGTATGAAATATGTCAACAGTTCACTTGACATTTCTTCAGGAAAATTTCCAGGATCGTTTGGATATAATTTAAAATCTAAAATGTGATTAAATTTTAAAATTATATTATAATTTAAATTTTTAGTTAGTATTACAATAAAAATTAATTATTAAAAGTACTGCCATACAAAATAACAAAATATTAAGAATATTCACCATGCATTCCAATTAAGATATCAACCGAGCGGGTATCATTTGATGTTGATGGATTATCAAAAACTAAAAAATAATAATTATTCGTATTTTGACAAAAAAAAATAGAAACATGAATATTTATGATTTACCATTCTCTTCAAAGTTTTCTTGAAGTGCTTGAACACTATCAGAGTTTTCAATTATTGATGTTGGTGGTTTATTAGAAACTAAAAAAAAAGAAGTAATAATTATTTAGACAAAAAAAAAAATCATAAATATTAAATTTATCATTTACCATTTTCTTCAATGTTCAACTGAAGTTCTTGAACAGTATCAGTGTTTTCAATTGTTGATATTGATGGATTATTAGAAACTTAAAAATAAGAAATAATTATTATTTTGACAAAAAGAAAACATGAATATCTATCATTTACCATTTTCTTCAAAGTTTTCTTGAAGTGCTTGAACACTATCAGAGTTTTCAATTATTGATGTTGATGGTTTATTAGAAACTAAAAAATAAGAAGTAATAATTATTTAGACAAAAAAAAAAATCATAAATATTAAATTTATCATATACCATTTTCTTCAATGTTCACCTGATGCTCTTGAACATTATCAGTGTTCTCAATTATTGATGTTGATGGATTATTAAAAACTAAAAAATAAGAAATAATTATTATTTTGAGGAAAAACAATGAATATTTATGATTTACCATTTTTTTTAATATCAGCTTGAGGTGCTTGAACAAATAAATATATAATAAATAGATATGATATTTTTTAGTATCACTTTTTTTAATAATTATTAATTCAAATGTATACATGCATTACAACTCAGTGGCGTAATAAACAATTTTAATAAATAAAGCAAAATATATTTATTCAACCACCAATAAAACAACTCAAATACCATAATCCAAAATAATAAAACTAATTTATTAATAGATAAAAGTAGTATATATGTACCAGTCCTGGCGCACCTCATAATATATCAGTAAAAGATCACAAAGAAAACAATGTGCAAAAAGATCAGAAAATTGAAATGCAATAATAATAAAAATATTTTCCACAAAACTTAATTATTAAAAAATAAAAATCGAAATGCAATAATTATAAAAACATTTTTCACAAAACTTATGAAATGCAATAATAATAAAAACATTTTTCGCAAAACTTATTAAATACATTTTCACCCCCAAAATATTTTTCATAATACTTATGATATTAATAATTAAAATCGAAATGTAATAATAATTAAAATATTTTTTAATAGAATTGTTCTATTAAAAAAAGTCTAACAACAAACTAGTGAATATTAAATTTCAAACCAATTATTCATTATATGATTCGATAATTCATTATGAATTTTCTTAAAATAATCAAATAATTTCTTAAAATTGTTTTTGTAACGATTGTAACTATACTTATTATCATAAGATTGATATAAAGATGATACATGAGTTTCTAAATTATACATAGATGATTCAATTTCTGATAACTCTTTTAGTATATTTTTATACCTTTGGATCATATCTAAAAGTTTTTTACAATTTTCCATTTCTATTATTTATATTAGTAAAAAAATTTTTTTAACATTGTTCTATTAAAAATATTTTTCTAATCTTTTTGATTTTGATTTCTAATCAATGTATTGAGATGGTTTACAAAATCATTTCTATCTATATTTGTTTTATAATGTCCCCAAGCTAATGTATCAATACCATTTTCCAAAATAAATCTTTTATCATCATACACACTTAAAGCTTTTTTGTTTTGTTCTACAGTAAAAATATCATGTTTCTTAGTTCTAAATAAATTTTGTTTAACATATTTTGATTCTTTTGTTAGTAAACATTTTTCAAAATCATTAAAACATATTTTATTTTCTACAACATTTTTTTTAACACCTTTAGCTTTTTTAATTTCTTTTTCAGTATCTAAGATTCGATGAGAATATAATTTAGATCTTAAACCTATAAATTCAGTCATTATTTTTCCATTTAACTCATCTTTAAACTTGCCTAAAACTTTTTTGTTAACTAAAGGTAAACCATAAATATTATCTTTTGGATAATCTGATGTGTCAAAATGATCTAACATAATTTTCATATCTTGATAAAAATCATTAGTTTTTATTTCTAATATTAGTGAATCTGTATCTGTATATAACAATCTAACTCTATTTCCATATTTTTTCTTTATAATATTATAATAAAAATCATACATTAACATTTTAGATAAATCTAAAATACACATTCCTACATATATTGGTTGTTTGAAAGATATTTGTGTTCTTTTCATATGTACGGCAGCTAAATTTTCTGTAAAAATTGTTCTTCGATCAAAATTTGGTTTTGTAATTAATTTTTCTAGTTGGTATGCATTAGAACATAATCTTATATCAACATGATTTCGAACATTCATCATAGTACGTCCATAAACACAATTATTCATTAATTTGAAAAATTCTTTTTCAAACTCATTTTTAGCTTCTGATCTAAGATTAGTATTAAAATCAATATAAACTTTTAACCAAGGAGATTGACTAAATTCTAATACTCTATGAATTTTCTCTATCTTTAAACCTAAATTAATATATAATTTTAGTGTTTCATAATGTATTATATATTTTTTCTTATCATACAAAGTTGTTAATAATTTTGGAAGTTGTTTGTTATCAAAATGTCTTTCTGGTGCTAAAGGGAAATCTGAATGTAGATCATGAAGTTCTTTAGGGTAAGATAAATCGACTTCTAAAATATAACCTTTACATGATTTATCAGAAATATTCATTACATCAAAATCATTCAGATTATCAATCCATTTGAAATCTCCAGTAGGTAAATATTTATTCATTGCCCACCCATAAAGATTATTTGCATCCAAGTATTCTAAAAATATTGATTCATCCTTTTTTTTAAATTTATCTCCCATGTATTTATTATTTGCTTTTGAATATCTTTGACTACATTGAGATAATCCACCTCTGATTCCAGATTCAAACATCAATAATTGATCGACATCTGTTAATAAATCTAATTTTACTTTTGTCATTCTTAACATGCAATCCCACGCAAATGCTGGTGTTGTGTAATACCACATAGGATCTAATTTATAATTTTTTAAAGAAATATCTCTAAAATTTTCTATTATATCTGTTAATAATAAAACATCGATCTTATTATATAAACTAGTGAATTCACGCATATTTTGTATATTAAACACTTTCCAAATTTTCTGTGAGTTTTCATATTCCTCTTTAGTTATATTTTTATCTGTGAGGGAACTATAAAATTTTTCAATAGGAGGTAAACATGTTTCATTAAATTTTTCTTCACAATCCATATACTCATAGGGATATGCTAACTTTCTAGTAACTAAATCTAAATGTTCTTCAGGAAAATATTTACTAAGTTCTTTAAATTTATTTTTTAAATTTAATTTCGAATCATTTCTTAAATTATTTGTTAACTTTTCTAAAGAACTAGGTAAAAATTTGAATGAATCTATAAATCTTAATTCTGTATATATTTTTATGTCTTTACCTTTCCTATTTACTTCACGTGACATCATTTTTGAAAAAGAAATATATTTTTCCTCATTATTTGGGATTAATTTTATTTTTTCATTATCATTCCCAAATTCTTTTATAAATAGATGGGCATCATAACCTGAAAGATTATGAAAAACAATTGGAATAAAACATGGATTTTGGTAATTAAGATTACATATAGAATGTGCTGCTCCTCTATATTCTCCAGTTAAGTGGTCATGATCCCGAACTTTTTTCATATTTATTTTTTTATTTTTTGTTTCTTCATTAAGTTTATCTTCAAATGATTTAATACGATACTTCTCAGCATTACATTTTTTATAATATTTAATAGTGTCAATAATTATTTTAAATTTTTTCTCTAAAACTGGAGGTAATTCATCTAAACATCTTTCACAAATATGACATTTATCAGATTTATTATAATTATTTAATTGTTCTGCATTCAATGTTTCCATAGGAACTATTTTATCATATAATTCAGAAATAAGTATTTCTCATCTTTCATACAATCATAAAATACTTGAGCTACGTTTGGACCAGAATATTCTACAGGAGGTTTATAATCACCATTACTATATTTAATATAATAACAAAAATTATTAGGTATATGTTTCTGATAACATTTTGTAAAAGACTCTGTATTATTTGGTTGACAAGTATATATTAGTTGAAGTGTACATTCAAAGTCAGCATAAATCACAAAAGGGACTCTTAAGGAATGATTATAAATTTTAAATTCTAAAGTTTTGTCA